ATTCATCAGGCTTTCACCAAGAATCCAAATCACAATCACCAATGCCCTGCGGAAGAGCAGTTTGGCTGTCGCTTCCCTGGGGCACCACTGCCCAGTGCCTTGGGGATTGCAGCCTGGCCACCTCTGGATCAGTGAAGCGGCTGGGAAGGCTGTGGCCCAGAGTTGCTAGGTCAGGGTCTCAGAGCCACTTTCTGCAAGAGGGATTTGCTCCTTTCAGTCAAGGACTCCGGCTGAGACTTGATTTCCAGACCCCACCTCCTCCCTAATTCTGCAAGCGGCCTTGGGCAGGCACCGGGGCTCCCAAAGCCACAAAGGTGAGCATGAAGGAGTTCAGATCAATTGCTCAAATCCAGGTCACTTGGAAATGTGGACAGCACCCCTCCTCAAGTCTTTGTGACCCAATGGACCACAGCACACCAGACTACCCTGTCCATCACCAACTCTCGGAGCTTGCTCAAACTCATGTCTATTAAGTTGGTGATACCATCCAACTATCTCATCCTCTGATGTGCCCTTCTCCTGCCTTCAATCTTTCCCAGCATCAGGGTCTTTTTCAATGAGTCAGTCTTTGCATCAAATGGCCGAAGTATTGGAGCTTAAGCATCAGTCCTTCCAATGAATATTCAGGACTGATTTCCTTTAGGATTGACTGGTTTGAATTGATCTCCTTGCAGTCCAAGGGACTCTCAAGAGCCTTCTCCAATACCACAGTTCAAAAGCATCAATTCTTTAACGCTCAACCTGCTTTATGGTCCAACTCTCACATCCATACATGACTACTGGAAAAACCATAGCTTTGACTAGACAGACCTTTGTTGGCAAAGTAATGTCGAGAGTGAAGGAAGTGATGCCCAAAGTGGGGTGACCCTTGAGTGAGGAGGAAGCCTGTCCAGCTGGATGGACCACACACCTAAATTTCAAGTCCATATCACTTGGAAATGTGGACAGCACCCCTCCTCAGGTTCCAAGTTCTCTTTCTGGGCAACATGGCCCCCTCCCACCTTTACTTCCTAGAAGGAAGAGATTAGGTGTGTTTAGCCTAGGAAAGAAGCTGGCAGATAGAGAGGGTGGAGGCAGCTAAATGTTATCAATATGCCTAAAGCCAGTAATTCCTGACCTGGCCAGAAAAGGCCCAAAGTTTAGATAAAGCAGATCCTGGAACCCGCACCCCAAACACAGAGGGAAAAAAATCACTGCATCTCCTGGACTCTGATAACCTGAGCCTCTTAAAAATACTCTTTCCCTTTTGTCCATTTGGAATCACCTTTCCTTGCCCCCTTCCTGCAGATCACTCAAATTTCAGGGAGCTGAATCAGAGGTGGGGGTTGCTGGTTCAATATGCTTGTGACTTGCAAGAGCTTTGTTGTTTTTTTAAACCAAATAATCAATTTGTTTCCTTTTTCTTTTTTGGCCCCAAGGCATGCAGGATCTCACACTCCCAACTAGGGATTAAACCCACACCCCCAGCAGTAGAACTGCAGAGTCTTAACCCCTGGACTGCCAGGGAAGTACTGCAAGAGTTTTTAATGTTCACTGTTAATAATGAATAATAATAAATGTCAGTAATTTGTGACTTTCAACATAACAGATTTTGAGTCTCTCTTCATTGAAAGTATATACAGACCTTTCAAATTCATTGATCTGAACTCCAAATTCACCAGCCTACTACAAGGGCTCCTTCTCTGGCTAAGAACACAAAGTCTCCATGTGACTTTGTGTTCAAGATGGAATCTTGGAAATGGCTTCCCTCTTACCCACATGGGTGCCCACCTCTGGGGTCCTCATTCTTGCTCCCCACGGGGTCCTCCCTCAACAGAGCCGACTTCTAGACCAAAAAGGGTCAGGGCCCTCCTCTGACCATTCCCAGTGGTGCCAGCTCCCTCTCCAACCCCACCCCTCAAGCGAGCCCTCCGCAACCCAGTGCTCCGCCTCACTCGAGCTGCAGGGCCTTACCTCTTCCAGTTTCTTCTTCCTGGAATGCTCTCAGCAGATACCAGGTCTCCCCCCACCCCAGGCCCTTTTTCAAAGAGGCCTCTCTACACACCCTGCGAACAGTCTGTCACTGCCTCTTCTCTCTGCTTTTCCACATAGAATGTAGATCTTTTCCTCTCTCCCAACCCCACACATCCATTTTGGATCATAGAAAAAGCAAGAGAATTTCAGAAAAAAATCTACTTCTGCTTCATTGACTATGCTAAAGCTTTTGACTGTGTTCATCACAAGAAACTGTGGAAAATTCTTCAAGAGATGGGAATACCAGACCACCTTATCTGCCTCCTGAGAAATCTGTATGCAGGTCAAGAAGCACCAGCCAGAACCAGACATGGAACAACCAACTGGTTCCAAATAGGGAAAGGAGTACGTCAAGGCTGTATATTGTCACTCTGCTTATTTAACTTATATGCGGAGTACATCATGCAAAATGCCAGGCTGGATGAAGCACAAGCTGGAATCAAGATTGCCAGGAGAAATATCAATAACCTCAGATATGCAGATTGACACCACCCTTATGGCAGAAAGCAAAGAGGAACTAAAGAGCTTCATGATGAAAGTGAAAGAGAAGAATGAAAAGCTGGCCTAAAACTCAACATTCAAGAAACAAAGATGATAGAATTCAGTCCCATCACTTAATGGCAAATACATGGGGGAAACAATGCAAACTGACAGACTCTTCTCTTCGGTTCCAGTATCACTTCAGAAGGTGACTGCAGCCATGAAATTAAAAGATGCTTGCTCCTTAGAAGAAAAGCTATGAAAAAACCTATGACAAATTAAAAAGCAGAGACCATTACTTTGCTGACAAAGGTCAGTCTAGTCAAAGCTTTGGTTTTTCCAGTAGTCATGTATTGATGTGAGAGTTGGACCATAAATAAGGCTGAGCGCCAAAGAATTGATGCTTTCCAAGTGTGGTGTTGGAGAAGACTCTTGAGAGTCCCTTGGACTGCAAGGAGATCAAACCAGTCAATTCTAAAGGAGATCAGTCCTGAATATTCATTGGAAGGACTGATGCTGAAGCTGAAGCTCCAATACTTTGGCCACCTGATGTGAAGAGCCAACTCACTGGAAAAGACCCTCATGCTGGGAAAGATTGAGGTCAGGAGGAGAAAGGGATGACAGAGGATGAGAAGGTTTGATGGCATCACTGACTCAGTAGACGAGTTTGAGTAAGCTCAGGGAGTTGATGATGCACAGAGCAGCCTGGCATGCTGCAGTCCACAGGGTCACAAAGAGTTAAGACAGAATTAAGTGACTGAACAACTCTACACAGATCTAGGACAGACCGTGTCTCCCCATTGTTACTCCAGCCCCAGGATCAGGCTCGGCACACTGTAGGTGCAGCACCGCTGGCAGTTGCTGATGGAGCCTGACCTGCCCTCAGGTCTCAGCTGAAGCCTCAGCGGCCCCCACCCCTCGAGGTCTCTCCTGTTCCCCTTCCTCACATCCTGTTTACATCATCACAGCTAATCAAAACATGCAGCTCAACAAGCAGTTATTTGTATTTTTAGTAATGAACATCTACCTTCCCTTCTGGTTCAGCAGTCAATCTGCCAACTGCAGCCTGAGGGCCCAGCTCAGCTGCTGTCTGGTTTGGTGAAGCGGGGTTTGCTGCCCGGCGGTCCTGATGGCTGGCTGTGGGTGCTTCTGTGCAGCCTGGTCAGGGCTGAGCAGTTGTGATGGAAGCGTGACAGCCCACACACCTCAAATACTTACCACTTGGCCTGGCCTTTTCAGACAGTTCACTTATGTCCATACTGTGCCCAGGAGGAAAGAGAGGAAAGGAAGGACAGCCAAAGACAAGGCCACCCAGCAAGGCACGTTCTCTGGTTGGCAGTTTTACTTAGTAGCTCAGCACTTTGCCGTCAGTTCACTTCCATCTCATCAGTCATTTATAAAAATGATTCTACCAACACAAAAGTCAAGGGAATTGACACGTGTTCAAAAGTCCAGGAGTTGTCCTGCTTCAGGTGTAGACAGATCTTGGGTCAAGCCTCGTCTTCAGCTTCCTGCCTCTCATTCTGGAGCCACGCTAGGGCCAGTCCTCCTGAGCACCTGGCAGAACCGCAGCAGGTAGGGCAGGTCCCAGAACAGAATCTCACTGGCTGACGGGTCTCACCTGGGCTGCGTGATCAAGTGTGTTGGGCTCTGACTGGATGGGCCCATGCCCTGGCGTTCAACTCACCCACCCCACCAAGGAACCTGGGCAGCTGAAGAGCTGGGTGCTGTTCCCTGACGAGGGGAAAACAGGCGAGGCTAGGCTTGAGAGGTTCTCAACTCCCATCTCAGGACTTTTTCTGCAACGGGAGACGAGGAACTGACTTACAAAAATTCACCAGTAAGCCAACAGCGTTGGTATTTTTAATAGCACATTAGGGATACAGTTAATGAATCGCAGAGAAGTCACAAGACTCTTTCGTCTGTTTTATGTGTTTCCACCTTGCTGTGTGAACCATGGCCCCTGTTCAGTTATTTCAGCAGCTGGATCAATAGTTACGAGCTACTAGTTTTGCTGATGGTTCAGATGGTGAAGAACCTGCCTGCAATGGAGGAGCCGGAGTTCGATCCCTGGGTCAGGAAGATCCCCTGGAGGAGGGCACGGCAACCCACTCCAGTATTCTTGCCTGGAGAATTCCATGGGCAGAGGAGCCAGGTTGGCTACAGTCCATGAGGCTGCAAAAAGTTGGACACAACTGAACAATAGTTACGAGCTGCAGACAAAGCTGACACCACTTGGTTTCACACAAGAAAACAGAGACCAGGGAGAAAAGAAGGAACAGTCAGTAGTTTGCTAAAGGCCCTGTTTATTCTGCAATCAAGGCTCAGAAATGGGAGGATACAACGGAATCTCTCCATAGCTGTCATTTCAGAGCCACAAATGGACAGAGAGGGAGTGAGGAAGACAGCTACTCTGCACAATGACTTCCCCCCCTTTTAAAAGTGAACACAATGAGACTGGATTACAAATGGCCTGTCTCTCTGACCCATCATCAAGCCTCTCCACTTTAATCTTTAAGAACCAGTGGGGCCTTCACTTGGTCGGCCACCTCCTTGCCGACCAGCACCTCGACGATCTTCAGAGCAAACTCGAAGCTGGTTCCTGGTCCCCGGCTGGTGAGGATCAGGCCGTCTTTCTCTACGCGGTTCTCGGAGTAGCTGTAATGACCTGGGAAATAAAAACAAAGAAGGGTTACGTCCTTGTGGGCTATGCAGGACAGCCATGAACACCACTCAACACTTCCATTCCCTTACTGCACACTACTGTCTCACAAAAATGAAAATACAAACAAGCCAAGGTTTTTAAAAAAGCAAAAGCTCACAACACCAACACTGTAGCCAGTCACTCATAACTCCATTAGGCACCCGCAGCTCTCAGAACACAGCAGGACAGAAAGGGAGAGGGTTTCTCTGAATCCCCTTTCCTGCCTAAACACTGACTGTCCAAAAGGAACTCAGCTATCAGAAATCCCCTCCCAGAAGTTCTATCAATCAGAAGAGAAAACCAGGAGCTGATACTACACTCAGACAAACCTTGTCATAAACTATCATTCCTCCCATCTACTCTTCAAAGGGCCCTTTCATCTTTCCAAAAACCCAATTACCATCCCCTGAGAGGCCTGTCTCCCCTTCCCCTATTAAGATGGAATTTAAGCCAAAATTCTAAACCATCTCAGGGAGTTACTTATTTTCCCCTGGGGCTCTTCCATGTAAACACGAGTTACAGTGCTCAGTTGCTTAGCTGTGTCTGACTCTGCGACCCCATGGCCTGTAGTCTGCCAGGCCTCTGCAGTAGCCTCCACAGCCCCCAGTGAGGTCTCCTGCATTGGCAGGCAGATTCTTTACCACTAGCGTCACCTGGGAAGCCCAAACATAAAGTATACATGTTAATAAACTTTGTTCTTCTCCACTCAACCTGTCTTCTGTAACAAGGGTCTCAACTAAGAACTCAGAAGGATACAAGGGAAAATTATTTTTCCTTCCCTATAAAATGCTGGAGGAAGGGGGATGTAGGGGAACTAGAGCTGAAGGTAGAAATGACTTGTAATATACAGACCCCCTGGGTGATGCACACTTTCTGCTGCCTCCAAAGCAAACAAGCAGAAACCACGCACAATGTGTCATGGGTGGGGAGAGAGAGGTTCAAGTGGGGAGAAACCTACTTTCTCGTCAGGCACTGCCTGCTTTCGGAGGCCACAGCTGGCTGTATCTTTGCAAATGCAGTAAGAAACAGGCTGCTCCTATATTCGCATGAAGTAAACACTACCACCTCCGAAGAGATCTGAGGGCTCAAAGCTGGGATTCCCTGAACCACCCCCCACCCTCACATTCCACATCAGACAGTCACCAAATCCTCCCACTGCACAAGCACCAGGCCCAAACTCCTCCCATGCAGCAGCACCCCACGTGGCCTGGCCCCTTGATCCTGCAGCGCCCCAGGGCCCACTCTCCCGCCTGAAGCTTGCAGCTCTGCTACAGAGGGCACTGAAGTCCTCTCGGCCCTGGAGGAGCTGCCCGGGCTGCTCCCTCTGCCCAGAAAGCTCCCCTCAGCAACTCACTCCTTTGAATTCAGCATGGACCCCTCTCTCACTAGGCCCCCCAGGTCACTCTATCATGCACCCTCCCAGCACCCAGGAAACCGTTTGGCTCCTGTTTACCTCTGGTCTGTGAAATGCTGAGGCCTCACCTACCCGTCCAGTCTAGAATGCTAATGGCACCAGGGAGGTGCTCCCGAGTATCAGGTGAAGGAAAGAGTGAATGAACACTCCCTGCCTGCTGCCTCAATGCAGGCCTCTGCATGCAGCCCCCCTTCCTCCTGCCTTTCCCTCCACTCAGTGCCACCAAACAGGGCACATTCCACAGTGCAAACCAGAGCACACCCAGGTGCCCCCCAAGAGAAGCCTTCACCACTTTCTCTGGCAACTTGAAGTGACCCTCAACTCCACATCATGGTACACAAGCCCTGGGACCCAGCCTGCGCACAAAGACAGGGCAGAAAGAAGCAGAGGGGAGACAAAGAAGAACCCACTGGGAGTAAACAGTGACCTGGACAGGACAGAGGCCACGGAGGTCCGAGGTGTGTCTTGAAGATAAAATGCCAAGACCCTGGGGAGGAAATGGACATGGGGAGACACCAATGAGGACGCCCGGCCACATGATGACACTGCTCAATGACATAGGCCTTGAAGGACAAACAGATTCCGGGCCAGGGTCAAAAGCCCACAAGGGTCCTCTGTGCAATCCTGCCACATCTGGTCCCTGCAGGCAGAGTCGGGTCTGCAGCACCACACAACCTCTACCCCCTCCCCATCTGAGAAGCCCCGAGAACATGGCTTGATCTTGTCCCCTTTTCTGTCCCCGAAGCCCAAAGAAGAGCTCAGGAAATGCTTGTCTGATGCTCACACAGAAGAGCACACCTGAGCAAGATGCTCCTGCTGCACCAGCAATCTTTAGAGACCATGTCCTGACGTGCCTGTCCTTTCCCAGGGATGAACACCACTGCCCTGCTTCAGGCTTCCTCTCCTCATCACATATCAAGTCACCCAGTGAAACAACTGACGACAGTCCGTGAGCACTCGCAGTTACCCTTCTACAGAAGAAAAGGGGATCCCGGGTCTGCAGGGGAGAGGTTTACCTAATCTAACATCATTTACTGTTGGTTAAGGATCATCCCAAGTACTGAAGTAGAGAACCCGGAGCCGAGATGGACACCGAGACACAGACAGTGAAGGCACGGCTCTGAATGATTCAGGTAACAACCTCTTTGTCGGTAAAATACTACAAATACAGCTTACACTGATTACAAATGTTTAAAAATTCCAGTTCTTCTCAAAAATCTCAGCCAAGAGCTAAAGGTCTGCTTACAGACCACCTCCACCTAGCGGTGAAGATGGAGAAAAACGACACCTGCCCACCAGGCCATTCCTGGTCAACCTGCAGGAGGTGTTCATTCCGTTTTAACTTTAAGCAAACACCCCAAAGCCTCTCTCAAAGCCCAGAGACGAAGCAACGGGGGAGGCTAGGGGCCACAGGGTAGTAACCAACAGCCGCTTTCACCTGCACACCCTCACCTCCGTGGTCTGGGAGCCCCAGAGACGCGGTGGCCCCGACAGCCCTATATCATTACTATCCAGCCCTTCCAGGAAAAGCCACTGACCCCTGAGCATATCGACTCAGGTGTCAGCCTGCCAGATTCAAACCTCAGTCTGCTATTTAACAGCCGTCTGACCTCCCTGTTTTTCTCTCCTGTAAAATGGGCATGATGCCAACCCAACAAGTTGAGCCCTGGTGATGGCAGTCTGTCTGCTCTGCATCCCCAGCTGTCAACAGCCCTGAGAGGCAGGGGCTACCTACAGTCCTCCTCAGGTGACAGATGGGGAAACCAAGGCCCAGTGAGGTTACAGGACCAGCCCCTGGGGGCAGGGAGGGGTGGGGCTGGAGCCACGTGGGAGTCACCTGCTCCGGAGTCCCTGCTCGTCCCTGGGAGCTGGCATCCAGCCGCTCAGTAAACCACAGAAACGAGAACTGAACAGAAATTTGAAGTCACCCCTTCTTTATTTTAAAGCTGAGAAATGGAAACACTGTCCTTCAGACTGGATGGTTTATGTGAGTAAAAAAAATGTCACACTGCTCTTAATTTGAAGTTCACGATGAGGACAAGCAGAAGGGCCTCCTCACCCAGGAAGTGATTACAGCTCCACTTCTCAGAATGCAGACACTGCAAATGTTTTTTTCTTACAAGAGGTCTTGCTGACTGAACCCAACACCTGGTGACCTCAGTGTGTGTGGGCCTCATGTGGACAGAAACGGGGCCCCAGTTCGGGACCGACTCAGGCAAGCGGCCTGTTTCCTTGTCGGTGAAGTCCATACGTGCCTTACTGGGTACCGGGGCTGCCAGGTTCAAGAAAACACATGTGAATGTACCCTGTAAGTGCCCAAGAGTCAACAATCTCATATTCTTCTATTTCTGATCAGCCACGTCTTCCTGAGGTGTTACGAGGAAAGAGCCACAAAGATACACGAGCAGATAACGGGGAACACGTTCCACTTGCTTCTTCCTTCTTACAAGTCGTTACTGCTAATGGAAGCCTGATTCTGCTCTTTCTGACCCTCCAAAATCCCACCATTTGCTCAAAGTAAACTAAACCCCTACGTTAAAAAATGCCCAGAAGTCAGAGCCTTAAAAAAAATTCAATTTTCACATCGATGTTTTTATTGACAATTTAGTATCTATCAACTAAAACTATAGGTTTTTCAAAAAAACATACTACCTTGGATCAAATCTAAGAATATGCAGAATGTCCAACACCAAGAGTGAACCCTAAGGTAAACTATGGACTTTGGGTGGTGATGACGTGTCAGTGCAGGTTCATCGACTGTTACAAAGGTACCGTCTTGTGTGGGAAAGGAAGCGGATGGGGAGGGAGGTGGAGATGGGGGCACAGAGGGTTTATGGAAACTCTATACTCTTTGCTTAATTTTGCTGCGAACCTAACACTCCTTTAAAAAATAAGGTGTTGTTTTACGAGGCAGTAAAATGAAAAATGCATCACTTTACTTTGCTATGAAAGGATGAATGAAGAAAAAACATGAATTGCCCTACTTTTAGTTCAGAGTAAGTCCAGAGCAGAACTGATACGGCGAGAAAATATATCAGCAGCACAGCTATTTTCAAATCTGCTCTTGATATTATCAGTCTTTTGATGTAGCCATTGGCTGCTGGTTAGTGGATGTCTTGAAAATGGAGCTGGTCACCAAGTCTCCCCGCTGGTTGAACGCCAGCTGAGTCACTCATGGTTTCCAAGTGGGAATTTTTGATTCCCTTGCACACATCCTCACCCGTGTGACGTCCCTTTCTCTATACAGGTTTCGGTTTCTGCTCCCTTCGATATGCACGCCAGGCACAGGTGGCAGAGGAAGACACTGCCTGGCTGGTGCTCTGAACCACACCCCGAGAAGCACTGTTTCTGAGGCAGCATCCATCACGACACAGCTGCACATCCAGGAGCACAGTGACCCTGCTGTGCCGCTAACTATACACTGCCTCATAACTTGAAATTTGATATATTTTTAAATTTGGTGCACGTGTCTCTGCAAGCTATTAACTCCTGGAGGGCAGAGACAATGACATGTGTTTTTAAAAACATAACCTCCAAGTACCAAGTAACATTAGAGAAATAAGTTAGGGGAGAAGAAAGGTATAATGTTAGGTTTGAAAAGCAAGCTGCAGAACATATTTACTAGCTCTCATTTGAGTAAAAACATTAAACTACAAAGGATAATGAGTATGTGCAAAGAAAGTTCTAGAGTTACACAGGAAACCTAACAGAAGTTACCTCTGAAAAGTAGAAAGGGGGTAGGGAGGTCAGAGAGAAGGGAATCATTTACTTTTACTTCATTCCTTTCTGTACTGCTTGTTTTTTGTTTTTTTCTTTTACCAAGAATAGAAAATTGTTTTTATAAAAATAAATGTACAAAAGTTAAATGTCTGACTGATGTTAATATTTACAAAGGAACCTGTCAATGAAGGAGCAGGCCTCCCCTGCAGGAAGGGAGCAATGTCCATTTTACTCTGGACTGTGGGCAAAAGGGCACCCTCTGAAATTGCCACCAAGGTTTAAATTTTATCCTCAGACTGCTGGCAAAGTATTTAGTAAACTAGTTAAACTGGCATCTTGCAACCACTTCAATCTGTGACCACGAGGAACCCGGCTGGCCTTTGGCTCAGCCTCTGTACCCCATTAGGCAACCTACACACAGAGACCCACCCCGTTAGCCAGTCTTTGTCATTAAAACACTTGCAAAGAAAGTGAGGAACACATCACACCCCAACCCACAGAGAACCCCTATGTACAAAATGTATTCCAAGTGGGAGACAATGCCACAGCACAGCTTTCTGAGTAGGTCTTTTTGCACATTAGAATATAAACGTGTACTTACTTCCATTCATCATTTTGTCTTTGGCAAGTGGGTGTGTTGTAACTTTGCTTCCAAAACCTATTTCATGAGCCAGCAGAGCTGTAGGACCTAAAAAGATGAATAAAGAGATTTAAGTGTGTGCACAGAAAAACCCATGTTTTAAAACCGCAGCAACAAGAGCATTCTTTGAATCAGGGGGCTCTTACCTAAAAATATACTTATGATTCTGAAACTAAACACTTACTAGTATGACAGGTAAAGTATGTTTATAATCAACCATCTGCAGAACACGTGTGGCAAAAATGTACAAACTCAAAACACCTCAATAACCACTTAATCAGAAAGATTTACCTTTATACCTAAGGAGCAAAGAGATAAACCATGCCCCCTCAAGGAACAGGCTGCAAGTCTAACAGGGGTACAAAGAATGGGAGACCACCAAGGGTTAAACGTCTTGCCTCTTTGCAAATAGAAGACTTAGTTATACATTAAACACAACCAGCATGCTCTGAATCTCTGGGCTTGACTGCTATTTCATGGACTAATTTTACTTTTCTACTTGAAAATGAAAGATCAGCACTCACCCATCTACCCAAATATATCAGGTGGCATATGTTAAATGAACATATTAAATTGAATGGGACATTTTCCCAGCCCCAGAGGAGACACCCATGAAATGCCTACATGACTGAGACACAGAGGCGCTGGTGTTTCTTTCTTACAACCAGGCACTGAAGAGAAAAGTACAGCACAAATGCCCGCTGTGGTCCTCTACACTGTCTCTCTTAAAATGAAGGTTAAAAAAAAAAAATGCAGGTGCCAACTTGAGACTTTAATGAGTGGTCAACTTTATTGATAATCATTTTGTAACAATTCTCAAATAGAGACTAAAATCAGAAAGATTTCTTACCTTTTGTTATTTTAAATCTGTTTTTTAAAAAAAGGAGTCCCTCCATCTTTTTTCTCTAAGTCAAAAAAAAAAAAAAACAACGAAGAAAAACTTTCTAACGCCTCATGTCAAACCTAGAAAAACTTCAGAAGAACACTGTGACCTTCTAAATGGTTAGGGCATTGCAGCTAAGGTCCCAAGACAGACTCACGCACTTCAGCTCCAGCAAACCCAAGCACTTGCTCTTTTGACCTTTCATTTTTCAACACAGGTCCAAGGAAAAAGTAGTTACATAACAAACCTATGGTCGACTCAAGATCTTAGCAGCTACTAACAGGAAGATCAAACAATATCACCTAATTACATAAGCTGTCGGTCTAACATCAGGTGTCAGTTTTAGACAAAGTCCTCATTTATACCTCACATCAAAAGCCTCTTAAACATGCCTGATGTCTCCTCCCTCCTTACTTGTATCTGTACACAAGAGCTGTGTTTGGAAGCAAATTTTAAAAGTCTGTCATAATTATCACTCAATTTTATTTGAATGGATTCATTATCTTTCTTATTTTATAAGATTTTAAGAAACAATCATTTCCTCCAGTACATTTTAGAGCAAATTTCAAGAGATGATGGATCATACTTGAGGACAGTGGTGATATGGTGAGTTAGAAATTTTTAGGCTGCTCCCTCCAGGTGATAAAACTGTTGCCTATAATGATGTTAATAAATGTATGGTACACTCAAAATTATGGCTTTCTGGGGCATGAGAGTCCTAGTTGGGGGCTTCCCTGGTGGCTCAGGGGTAAGGACTCCGCCTGCCACTTCAGAAGGCACAGGTTCAATCCCCGGTCTGGGAAGATCCCACATGCCACAGAGCAGCTGAGTCAGTCCACAACTACTGAGCCTGTGCTCTAGAGCCCGAGAACCACAACTATTGAGCCCACGTGCTGCAACTACTGAAGCCCAGGGCCTGTGCTCCACAACAGGAGAAGCCACCGCAGTAAGAAGCCTGTGCACCACAACCAAGATAGTCCCTGCTCTCTTCAACTAGAGAAAACGCTGTACAGCAATGAAGACCCAGCACACGGTCAAAAGTAAATAAATTACACACATATATATAAATAAATATATAGGGGTCCAGCTCTGAGCTGGGAGCAGAGGGCACAGTGGACAGAATCACCTTGGGAGGACCAGAGGGGAAGTCAACAGCGCCACCATGTGGTTATTTATGGAAAGGGTCCGAGCCTCTCCAGGTGTCCCAGAGCTTGAGCCTGTACCTGGAGCCCAGCACCTGCCAACTAGCTTCCATACCCCTCATGCCTCCCTCCTCTCCCCCAGTCTCATTTTATTTTCTCCAGAAAGCCTCCCTTCCAGGTTCTTTCTCTCGCTCTCACTCATTACTAGGGGTTAAGCTAACATTCCTTCAGTTCAGTAAACCGTTCCCAATCCCTAAGTATAACATCTAAGCCTCATTTTGTTCTCATCTGCTGATTGAAACATCCCAATCTCTGCCATTGCTCATTCAAATCTCTCCTCAACACACGATCATGCTTCTCCGGTCTTCTGTAGCACCCAGCAGAGCAGTGCAGGACGTTCAACCAGATGACATGTTACCAGCGCTGTTTACAGCGTGGATGTGAATGATGACAAGGGCTGCACGTCTTAACAGCCTGGGAGTCAATCCTGCCTCAGCACAACACTGGGAACTGGAAGCAGCTCATGATTCTGCTACCTCAGTGACACAAATGACAAACTGACATGCGATTTTTTGCTTTCAGCAATCCTAAGGGGGGAAACCCAACAAACGCTTCCTCTCTTCCTTTGGTCAAAGCACTAAGCACTAAGAATGCGGCAGAGGTGAGGGGTCAGCAGGTGGGGTGGGGTGGGGTGAGGGTGGACTGGACTAAGTCCTTATACAACTAATAGCACCTATGTCCTCCTCCTTCTTAGTATCTTCTGCTTCTGTTAGGTCCATACCATTTTTGTCCTTTATTATGGCCATCTTTGCATGAAATGTTCCCTTGGTATCTCTAATTTTCTTGAAGAGCTCTCTAGAAGAAAAGCTATGACCAACCTAGACAGCATATTAAAAAGCACAGACATTACTTTGCTGACAAAGGTCCATCTAGTCAAAGCTATGGTTTTTCCAGTAGTCATATATGGATGTGAGAGTTGGACCATAAAGAAAGCTGAGTGCTGAAGAACTGATGCTTTTGAACTATGATGTTGGAGAAGACTCTTGAGAGTCCCTTGGACAGCAAACCAGTCAATCCTAAAGGAAATCAGTCCTGAATATTCATTGGAATGACTGATGCTAAAGCTGAAGCTTCAATATTTTGGTCACCTGATGCAAAGAAATAACTCACTGGAAAAGACCCCGATGCTGGGAAAGATTGAAGGCAGGAGAAGGGAACAGAGGATGAGATGGTTGGATGGCATCATCAACTCAATGGACATGTGTGAGTTGGAGCAAGCTCTGGGAGCTGGTGATGACCAGGGAAGACTGGTGTGCTAGAGTCCATGGGTTCGCAAAGAATGGGACATGACTGAGTGACTGAACTAACTGATGTCTTCCTCCTTAAGAAGCAGTGCAGCTACGTGGGCTGCAGTGTCCTCTAGCAGAGAAATCCTTAAGCCGCAAAGGCAGGTCAGAGGTCGGTGCTGACTGGAGCCCAAAGATGAGGACTGCCAGGTGGATGCCCCTCAGTCCTTCCTGGTCTCTTACTCGGGGGTTCTCAAACACTCAAGTCTTAGGGTCCCTTCAGCTATTAGTGTGAGTTACATTTATCAGTAACTGCCATGCCAGAAATTAAAACTTGAAAGGTTTATGAGCTAAGAACACTTAGCACGCAAGCCATGCCTGAATGATGTCATTGTCATTCTCTGATGTAATTCCTGTGAGAATTAAAGGCAAAAAGGCAAATAATGTGTGAGCAGTATCTGCTTGGCCCTTGCAAACCCTCTGGAAAGACTGTGAGAACCACTGCTCTAAGGCACAGTCCCCAGATCCCCAGCCTATGACTATGATCTCTTTTAAAAAGTCTACCATATTGAACAAAATAGCGTGTCATTTTGTCTAACCATCCATTCATTGGCTTATCTGCTCTCTTGATAAAACATTTAATGAAGACCCATGAATAAGGAAGGCACCTGCCAATATTACACTATGAAAAAAATGGAAGATGGTGAAATATCATCTCATATTAGAGCAAAAAGAATGGACTTTAAAATGGTATCAAAAACCAAAGCACTGATATTACTAGGTTTCAAAGATGTGAGGGCCCCTGCAAAGCACCACCACCTTTCCTCTAAATCATGTGGCAGAGAATACACAGTACCTCAGACGTGGAGCTCAACACTGAGGACCAGGTGGGAAGCCCCCGGGGCAAGCTCAGGGCAGATCTGTGATTGTTAACACTGGCCTGATTCTTGCTAACCTTGTGCTGGCAGAAGTCCTCTCTGGCAATGGGACTGGCTATAATAACTGTTTACTCAATTCCAGAGGGGCCTTGCTTTCCTCCAGGTCCATCAAACACAGAAAACAACAGGTTCCACAGAAGGTACACCAAAGGCAGGGAGAGGCAGAAAACGGAGGAACTGCAGTCACTTCTGACATGATACCAACCTCACATCCCCAGCTAAACACACCGACAGAGAAGCCCTTCATGCTTTAGGAAGTGGAAGAAGTACTGGGAACACAATCTCGTACTCAAAGACAACCCTGTCGTGTGTTTTTTGAAGCAAGCTGAAGACACACTTGGACAGGGGCCGGCCTGAGGTTACCTGCACAGATGGCAGCGATGAGGCCCTTCCTCTTCTCTTGTTCCTTCAGTATCTCCTTCACAGCAGCGGACTAGTCAAAGAACCAAAGTACATCAAACTGTCATTAAGCCGCAGCCAATCTCGGCTAGAAACTTCAGTAGAATCTGGTTTTAGCTTAACCACAAGATCTTCCATCTGACTGTTTTTCAACAATATTGCTAAATCATCAATATGAAAACTACCAAATTCAGTGTTTCTACAGGCTTAAACCCAACTACAACGTTTATATAGAAAAGGGTACCCTCTCCTTAAAGATGTTTAAAGATAAGATGAGAAAAGCTATTTCCCTTGGGCATGCTAACCTTTGCCATCTTATACTCTGGGGATCCAGAAAAGAGGAAAGGTGCTGCTTGGGTTTCTTTTTTTCAGACAGTAAAGTGAGGAGAGCGCCCCAAGGTCCCTAATGTCTGACTTGACCTGGTTGGTTCATGAGTTTCTGTCTCATGAAGTCCCTGCCCCTCTCACCTCCTTCTCTCTTCCCTCCTGCAGGCTGATGCTTCACATAACAGAATGAAGAAGCAGTGGCTTCCTTTATACCATTTTTCATTCAAGCTGGCAGCTCTAGGCTCCTGCAATCTCCCTTACTCCAATGGCTGAGTAGAGAGCCAACCTCTTACCTTTCAATACTTAACCCTTCACAAGCACAAAATAATCATTCTATTGTTGTTTGGGGGGGGGGGGGGAAGTAATCTTACATTTGGACTCTATTCACAGAATCTATTCACAACTGTTCCACCAATTCTGCTTACTTCTACAGTAAATGTTATTAGAAATGACTTTTTTAAAAAAATTAAGCTAGAACACCGTTTTGTTCATCTTTTCTTATTCTAGTCACAGCCTTCTTCCTGAAATATTTTAATAACAAAAACAATAGAATACAAGATGTTGAAATACTCTCTTTACACACTTTACCTCAGATAAATTCTGTGCACCCAGATTACCTCCTGGCAGAACCACCACATCATAAGGTCCCTGTAACAGTTTAAAAAATAAGAAAAGAAAGTGAAAATGTTTTATTTGAAATGTGCATTAAACAGTAACACATTCATATGTTAAATATGGTCACAGCAAAAATATTGTTCATAGAGAAAGTTAAATAAATCAAGGTGTTTCTCTATAACGGAATACTGTAACTAGCCAACAATGCAGAAAACCTCCATATACTAGTAACACAAAATGATGTCTGTGCTGCAGAATTGCAGGTGTAGCATGATCTCATTCTTGTAAAAAGAATAAATGTATGTGAATGCATATGTGTGTGTCTACATACACACACACACCCACACCCACATGTACAGTATAGATACTCATGGACAAAGGAAACTGCCAACTGATGAAGGGAGCATGGAAGGGAAGAATGAGAAAGGGACATTATTAATAACACGTGACTTTGTGTTTGTCTACACTGTATGGGATATTTTTCAACAAGAATGTACACAGTAATTTAAAAAAAACTTTAAAAGACACAAAAGAATGTTTTAACCTTAAGTAAAATGGAACTTCGGGTATTAAAAAAATGACACAATATTTTATTATCTCAGATACCAAAACACCCTAGAAATCTAATGATTTCAAACTTGCCTAAATTATGAAATAGAAATTGATTTAATACAGTATCTTCAAATGTTAAAAAAGCTTTAAAAAAATTTAGTCATTAAGCAAATAATAAAATGAAAATCTAGTACATTTTTACTCCAACATATACTAATTACTTTTAAAGACTATGAAATGTCCTATGTTGTTTCAAAGCCAAGCAAAGCTTAAAATCTGTCAAGTATGAAAATTTCTTTCCCTCCATTTAGAAACTGAACAATAAACAGACACAAAATGTAACCACTATTCTAGAACACTCAGACAGACCCTACAGGACAAAAAAAGAAGAGGCAAGAAACACATATTGCTACTCTCTCATTTTTAATCTGCTATTTAGAGATTCAACAACTTCTACAAAATATCAACATTCTTATACTTCACAATCTAGCACTGAGATATGTGAATTTATCAGAGAGGAATACATTTTTCTACGCTTTTGAGGAGAGCCAGGTACGGGGAATTCTACTCCCAGGCTCCTCATAGCACAGAAAAGCTGTCATGGGTGGTGATTTGCCCCATCGCTGCTCTAAGAGGGTGTGCCCCACACTTCTGTCACACTGGCCCCTGAAGCCTGAGCCCTGTGAAAGTGCAGGCTCAAGTGTCTGGTACGTGTGGGCAGGCATGCTTCTGAGGAAAGGGACCACAGCTCTTGACGGATTCCCAAAAGTGTTGGTCCCCCACAAAAGGAAGAACCTCAATTCTGAAGATACTGAAAAAGTGACACAATTTAAGGAGAACTCACTCCTCCTTTAATCCAACCACGAATCAAGTATGAGTTGTTCCGTGTAAAATGAATCACACAACCCCACGTCTGTGTCACTGATAAAGAAAAGATAAGAAGCAGCTTTCGAATAAAGGGTAAGAAATGAATGGGAAATGTGCAGGTGACTCTCACACTAAGTTATGTAGTTACAGAAGGAGGCAAAGCTGCCCGTATGAGCCAGAACACTAGTGATAGCGTCCTGCCCATCCACCCACACCAAGCACATGAGCTATCAGGGACCTGCCAGGTTCTGAGGATACAGAGTGGAAAAAGGCAAAGTTCTCCACTCCCCAGGGCTTAATTTAGTGCTGAAGACCTCTAAGCAAAGTAACTTTCTTAAAATAAGTCTGTGCTAATGACAGTTTTAGATGTAGCTAAGAGAGAGCTCAAGAAACTGATAAAGAAGCGGTAGGAAGGAACGATTCCAAGTCTAGAGAACAAACCTCTTTTTTTGCATCTTCCAGACTGGCATCAGGACAAATGACAACATCTCGGCTACACTGTACCGGGTCTTTTCCAGCCAGACCTGCAACGGTGACCTTAATCTAAGAGGAAGACGTCATCATGATATTTAAGAACACTGACACATAAATTTAGAGTAACATTTTCACAGCTGGCCTGTGTTTTAAAATAACCTGGCAGGAAATATTGCAACAAAACCATGCTGACTTTAGGCTATTAAGTTGGCTAAATATACTTAACCACTAGGTCTGTCCCAGTTTGCTTGACAGTATGAATTAAAGATGCTGTCCCAGTACCCCATCTGCTTAGCCTCCTTTCTTCCACAAGTGTTCTTGTCTGTGAGATAAATCATATGATCATCCTATCTATAAAACACCTTGCAAAGTTGCTGTTGCCCTGTAACCCTCCTGGTATTTTCATAAGGTAGAAATGCAAGTTAAGACGATGAAACACTACTCCACTGCCCTGCAAAAATTCACAAAGTTGACAATACTGAGAACAACAGGAATTTTCCTCACTGCTGGTGGGCCCACATATTAGTACTTTGGAGAGTCATTTGACAAAATCTAGTAACATCATATATGCAAGCAGCAATTCCTTTTAGGCTCAGAGCCTAGAAAAACTTTCATATCTTTAAACAAGAAAAACTGCACAAGAATATTACAAATGCTCAACTATAAGATAAATAAGCATTAGAAATTAATGTACAACAGGATAGGGACAATTAATACTGTTGTATGTAATATGCAAAAGTTTTTAAAAGTAATTCCTAAGAGTTCTCATCATAGGAAAAAAAATTTTTTTTTCTACATCTTTATTTTGTATTGATACAAGATGACAGATATTCACTAACCTTACTGTGGTCATCATTTCATGATATATTTAAGTATGCTGTACACCTTAAACTTACACAATGCTGTTTGTTAATTATATCTCAATAAAACCAGGACCAAAAAAAAAAAGAGTATTACAGCACTATAATGCTGTAAAACAATGCAATAGAGGAATGGAGACTGGGCATATTCCCATAGTGCAATACTAAGCAGCAATTTTAAATAAACTGTATCTACATTCTTTACTACAATGTGATTACTTCACTTATTTAAATATCTGATTCACAGGTTGATTGTTTCTCCGCCTGTTTCTTCAACTGTAACATGAGGATGGCAATAACTCTTAAGGTGATTTTAACGTTTTAAAAACTAGTGAAAGTGCTTAGAATGGTATCCACCACTCAGTAAAGGATACTTAAGCATTCACTATGGTTATGTGGGTGTATAAAGGTTTACAATGCAGACGTGCAGAGTGAGAACCACAGTCTAATGTTACTTTAGACATGCATGGGCTGAATTCACATCACTGTGAGGAGAGCAGCTATTTCTGGGGCCAAAAAGGGAACTGAATTAGGTAAATAAACAAAGAGAGGTTTGCAATGTTTATTCCTTTTAAGCATTTGTCTTCAAGAAACAGGTCTGAAAGAAATATAGTAAAACGTTAACAATATTAAATGTGGACAGCAGATAAACAGGTAATTATTACATAGCCTCTGTACCGTTGCGTATGTTTGAAATATTTCAGAAAGTGCATTCAACACTACTTTATCCAAAATCACTTACAAGAATCCAAAAATGCTTTCAAATGGAGGGCTAAAAAAACTTTGAGGGACTTACTCCAGCTCTTCTCATGACATCTACAGGGATCACCGTCTCCATTTCCTCTGCTCCTTTAGCCAGGATGACCAGAGCTCTTTTTGAAGCCATTTTTATGTTGTATTTATTATAGACTCAATCAAAACAAGATTTTCAAGAAACTTTCACTGCAACCGTAGAAGACCTAAAAACCAGATTAAGGAACACTTTTAAGCAGAGTAACCAAGTGCTTCCCAGGGAAAAGATTTTGATAGGCAAAACACAATAAAACAGCATTTTTGGTTAATATTGACTGAAACAGAATTTCAGTTCCTGTTTTTTGAGATGACATCACAGCAAGATTGACAACATACTGGTTACTGTTCAGATTTCATCACGTTTATAAAAATCTAATTTCTAATATATTGTAAATGAAGCTTTCTAAGACATAAGCACATAGGCCTTTCATTTCACACAATTCCGGGATAGGGGAATACAAAGCCGCCTTTTTTCAAGTACTATTTCACAGAAAAACGACTAAACTTAATGGATAGAAGAAGAAATACTGTCTTTAGCAATTACCCCGAGATTTTTGGAGGGGATTTTATTTTTTAGTTCCAGTAACTGCACTAAATTTTCGGGGGCGGTTAACACTGTTACATATTTGAACACGCTTTACAAAAAAAATAACAGAGAAAAACGGTAATTCCCCCACGCTACACTCAACACTGATAAGATTCTTCGCACTTAGGCTCTCTCGTTGTAAACGACAGCCGCTATGCCGGGGGTCTGAATCGCTTTTAACCTATTTTTCTGCACTTTGTTTCCCATGCAACACAGATTTTAGTAAACGATGTCAACAAACACAAGATTAACTAGCTCCATGCTGGTGCGATGTTATGCACGCAAATTCTAGAAGCTTCAGCGTTGCTACTACGCTGGCGAGCAAACGGCGCCCTCTGCGAACCCTGGGAGACCGCCCCCTCCTCAGACGCGGCTAAACGCCGGCCGGATGCGCCCCGGTTCGGGGACCCTCTAGGGGTACAGTGGGCGGCCCGCACCCCCACGACCTAAGCTTGAGCCGCGCTCCCCATGGCCCAGACCTGAACCTCGCCTCTCTTCCCACAGACGGCCAGACTCGGCCCGTTCCGTCAGCACTTCTGCGCCGGTGATCACCGGGCCTGTACCGCACTAAACCCGGACGCACGCAAGTGCGCACGCCAGCACGCACGCGCGCCGTCAGGCTTGGCCTTCAGCCCCGCACTGCGCAGGCGCGCGCCGCCCTGCCTGGCTCTTCAGCCCCGCATTGCGCAGACCCACGTAGCTCGCCTCAGGTGATGTCATATCCGCCCGAACTCACCTAGGGGAACCTTTGGTACCTCGTGCCTTTCTGCGTCTAGATTGTACACCTAGGCTTGATTCCATTTGGAACAATAAGCGAAAGCGGAATCCTGTAAACTCACGCAATCTCCCGCAATCTCCCGCATCCGAGGGACGGCCCAGCGTGCCTCCAGCGCGCGCTGAATTTAACCCGTTTTTCATGCTGCAAGCCAGGTGTTTTTCTCTGTGCTCGTCTGGAGAGCCGCTTAGGCTTGCTTTAAACCCGCATTTTCACAAAACAAAATAGTTCCTTCATACTTCCTTTGTGCCCTCAGGGCTCTCTTTGCATTGTTCTGTTTTTTGGCGCGCGTTGTCTAGTCACCTCTGCTTTGTTATGACTCTTTAAGGTCCCCCCAGTTCCTCTGTGACTGATTTGGCTAGTGGCTATGTTTTAGCCACGCGGTCTGGGAAACAAACTCACTCAGAAGGATAATGCAGATGGTGGAGTGCAGTGTATTACACCGGTGGGCCCAAGGAAGAGTCTCCTCTTAGCCAAGGACCCTGAGCAGTTTTTTCTGAAAACCTTATATACCCTAAGTGTACATGCCCAAACCCACCTCCCCAAATTCCCTGAAACTAGTCTGAGCAAAGGAAAAGAAAGATACAAAGTTAACCCATGATTCATATACCTTAAGCCTAGGTAGTTAACAGTGGACAGTTATCAATAAGTCTGTGGTCATACCCCAATAAGCATAATAGAATTTGTGCTTCTATTCTGTTACACAGATAATTACGGTATTCATTTAGGCAACAGAGAGTCTAGGTACGAGCCTTGGGGCTCTTCCATCCAAGGGGCCTGGTTTTCCAGTTGGTTTGTTGTTTCCATAGATACTGGGCATAGAGCTCAGAGTCCACAGTCCGGCCCAAGATGGAGTTCTGCTTTCAAGATGGGGCCTGTCTGTCTCTTTTCCTCCTTTATTCCCCACTCCTGATGCTCTTAACTCATAGTATGAGCATCAGTCATAGGGATATATTGCACCCTGACTCTCCAACCTTCAATTTGGGAGAACGACATCAACCTTTGGGTTACAAAGTTCATAATACATTGTAAAATAAAGGGTCCACAAAGCAGAACTATTAAGGCAATTATAACAATGGTAAATATAGTTTTCCACCAATCACCCTTCACCCAAGATAGGACCAAAGTCCAAACAGGAAGATTATCATCAGACGTAACTTTTACCAGACCTTTCATATCATCTAGGGTGGCTGATATATAGCCAGATAAATCAGGAATATATACGCACATGCAACTTTGATTATAGCACAGGTCCCTGTTTATACTGAAACTATGGTTAGTCTCAAGATGATACCAGCAAGTCCTTGTAGCAGCAGTTGATTGTAGAGCTTCATCTCTTTTTCTTCTTTAAGATGATCTTGGTTTCACGGGGATCAGTGGGGTCCTTTTCTGTAGTCCACTTGGCGTCCTCCAGGTCTGCATGGTATGCTCTCTTCACCCTCATGTGTGGATCCTGGGAGCGACACCTGCAGCTTTAACTGCAGTCGGGCTGGTTAGAACAACAGTATATGGACCCTTCCAGACTGGGGCCAAGGAGTCGTGTTTCCAGTCCTTGACCACATCTGATCCCCGGGCACAAATTCGTGGATCTGTTCCCCAAGGGGGAATGGCACCCTTTCTTGTACAAACTTAGTTACCTGATTTATTACCTCACCCAATTGTTCTGTCTGCTGTGAAATCTCATCTCCCCTTACCTGAGGCAAATTTGTTGACACCTGTTTTATTATGGGCGGGGGCCTCCCATACACAATTTTATACGGAGAAGAGTCATGGGACCATGGGGTCATCCTGGGTCTGAGCAGAGCCGTCGGAAACACGTCCACCCAGGAGCAGTCAGTCTCTAGGATCCACTTGGAGAGTGTCTCTTTAAGTGGCCGTTGGTTCCTTCCACCATCCCAGAACTCTGGGGCCTATATGCTGTATGTAATTTCCACTTGATGTTTAAAGTTTTGCTTACTTGTTATACTAAATCAGCTATGAAAGCTGGGCCATTGTCTGATCCAATGCTGGTAGGAAATCCAAATCTGGGAACTATCTCCCTAAGCAGGCACCAGGCTACTTTTGATGCTCTTTCAGTCCAGGTAGGAAAAGCTTCTACCCATCCTGAGAACATACATACTATGACCAGCAGGTAATAGTAGTGTCGGTGAGGTTTCATTTCAGTGAAGTCCACTTCCAGGTGTTCAAAGGGCAGCGTGCCTTTTACCTGAATCCCTGGAAGTTTCTGTCCGTGCCGAGAGGCAGCATTAACCTGTGAGCAGGCAGTGCAGTTCTGAGATTTTGTCCTGCATAGGGAAAAGAGGTGGGGAACCAAGAAATGTTTTCTAATTAGCTCTTGCAGTTTATCATGGCCTAGATGGGTCGCTTGGTGTGTTTGGCTTACCAGAGTGGGTGCCAGCTCCTCCGGTACCAATAATTTGCCACTTGGTGATTCCCACCATCCCTTTTCAGTCTTGATGGCCCCTTTCACTTTGGCTAGTTGGTTTTGGGCTTCAGGGTATTTTGGAGAGTCCAGCATTAGCTCAGGTAGCTCCACCAATATGAGAGCTTTAATACAGGCTTCACTTGTCACCCCTAAGCCCTCGGCTGCTTGTTTAGCAGTCTTATCTGCTAGTCTGTTCCCTGAGCCCGGGGGGATATCCTCTTTTTGACATCCTCAGCAGTGTATGACTGCAACACTTTCTGGTTTCCAGGCAGCATCTAATAGGGTCTTAATTTCTTCCTTATTTTTATTATCTTTTTCACTAGTTGTCAAAAGGCCTCTCTCCTTATACAGAGCCCTGTAGTGTGGCAGAAGCATACCTGGAGTCTGTGTAAATGTTTGTCTTCTTACCTTTGACAGCTGGACGGCCTGGATTAGAGCATATAGTTTGGCCTGTTGAGCGGACCAGTGTGAGGGCAGAGAGCTAGCCTCAACGATGGTTTCTCCCATGACTACTGTGTATCCCGACATTCATTGTCCTTGTTTCCCCCAGGCTGGTGCCACTGGTGTACAGGACCCAGTCTGGGGCCGGGATTGGCTGGTCTCTCAAGTCAGGTCTGCTGGCATATTTCTTTGCAATCATGTGAGGGCCCACCTCTCCCACAAGAAAGAGAGTGGCCAGATTCAGGGCCTGACAAGGCTCAGTAGTAACATGGGGGTACTCACATAACAGTCCCTGTTATTGAGTAATCCAGGATGTTGACAGCCATTTATGGGGGTCCCCTCGCAGGAGAGTGTTGACCTCATGTGGGACTTTAACGAACAAATCTTGGCTCAAAGTCAGCTTGGTTGCCTCCCGGACCAGTAAGGCAACTGCAGCAACTGCCCGTAAGCATCTCAGCCACCCAGTGGCAACGTTGTCCAGCTGATTAGAGATAAGTCACCGATCTGTCCCATGTCTCCGGAATCTGGGACAACACTCCCGTAGCCACCTTGTCCTTTTCAGTCATGTAAAGAGTAAACGGCTTAGCAAGTTCTGGCAGGCCCAAGGCAGGTGCCAACATAATTGTACTGGATTTGAGTTCTATTAACAGTGGGACTTGTTTTGCAAGCCTGTGGGGAGGGGGGTGGTCTTCCGACCAGACCTCAGGAAATTGTTGAGTTAACTCTCTCTCTTGACTGTTTAGCCCGTCCAGTTTCCTTGCCGGGAGATTGTGCAACCTCCATTCATCTTGAGGGGTTCCTGAGAGGAAGAGTAAATAGATGGTTAAGCCCACTTGAACAGTGGGTCTTTCATGGGGGGAAAGGTCA